GGAACATCTTGCAGCGCTGCCTGAGTACTGCACAACTGCCCCCCCCCCCTCCGGAGATTTCCCCAAGTGGTTTCGCCAGAGTGCCAAGCAATAGGCCAATGGTATCGGCCATTTGACGGCAAATTTCACTGGGTTTCCGGTGTCAGTCATTGTGCGGCAAGAGCGCCGACCTTCGTCGCGAAGGAGAACGAATGGACGTGCAGACTGGAGCGCTGCTGCGACGAACGCTCGTTTCCCGTGCGAAGGCTGTGTACCGCACGTCGTTTCAGAGACACGGTCCGTCTGCCTAGTGGCACAATGCCTGAGAAGTCGGTTTCGAACTCCGGAAGTGTCCGGTTGCCAGTTCCAAAGGAGGACAGTTTCTGTTTTCACGATGAATTCACTTGAGCAAGAATTTCTCCTCCGTAGATCCAGACCGTAGAGCGTCGGACTCAGAACGAAGGAGTTCCGAATTTGAGTCCCCGTTGGAGTCACTCGTTTTCCTCCCGAGGTTAATAAATGAGCACCACCGCGCGAAAGAAACGAAGAACACGTGCTACGACTGCCACTAAGGTTCTACATGTAACGCAGAATATACGTTTAAAATAAGGCACTCCTGGCTGCTGGCATAGAAATGGAGACCTGCGCCGCTCAATTAACTCCATAAAACGAAGTACGCTAGAAGTAGTTCAGCCCACTTCCTGAAAGTGTAAGGAAAACCGACGTTCCAGCGGTTACGAACTTCTTTTCTCCTTCAGAAACAGAAGATTGGTACGGTTCTCTCTGCACGGAGAAATTCGAGCCTCGCTGTCTTGTCAGGTGCTGACGAGCGAACCAGAAAATGGACGACAAATGGCCAGTGGTCAGCACAGCGCGTGACTGAGGAAACTGAACGGTGAACATCTCCCTCCCAATGCCAAACCGCGAAAAGTCTAGGTAAACGGAAGTCATGAATTTGCAGCAGTACGCTCTTCTGCTACGCTACCAAGGAAGACAACGTCAGGGTACAGTTTCAACTGGTCGAACAACGAATAGGTCCGGGGGGAGGGGGTCATGTCGGAGTGACACCAGTGAAAATGGTCCACCGTTTCAAACATATTGCCACGCCCCACCAAACAATCAGAGTTTCCAACACGTTCGCGACGTCCCGCTTCAGATACGATACAGCCTACTTTACTGTAAGCAGTTGAACATGGCGAGCAGCAGAAAAACTCGTCTGCGTAGTTAATGCAGGATGACAGTACCGACGATAGGCGACAGCGGTGTCGGCGACGACGTTGTACAGTACTTTTTCTGACTTACTTCTCATTGAAGTACGTATTTCTACCCTTCAAAGAATGACCGTAAAAAAAGTACTTCAGTTGAAAGCTAAAAGCCGTGCTTACAAGATTCTGATCGGCTTGCGCTCGACAGAAAAGACTGTGATCAGGTTTTTTCGCCACGTTACTAGAGATGGGGGGGGGAACGACTCGATTGGACGACGAACTCGTTTCCTTTTCTCCGCTTCCGTCTGTCCATACTCTTATTACTTCCCTCATTTCTGCCTCCACCTGTACGTGCTCGTCATGGACGGCCAGCGGGGCCAGTTGGATGAAACAACAGACGTCTACCTCCATCTGCACCTATCAATGGTCAAAAGCGTAGGGTAGAAAGCGACCTAATCATCTTGACTGCCAAACCTCGGTCCTGCACCAAAAATGTTTGCGCCGCACGTAATTTCGAGTAATAATAATCGAGTCTTACTCATTTCGACTAGTAACTAAATCAAGCAACTAAGTACAGTTTGATTTCACTTCGACGGAAGGTACGTAACTCAGTGCGCGTCGCAATGGAGGGGAAAAAACAACGAGCCATCCTGTTCGTGTCCGTTCAGCGTCACGAGACACGACTTGGCCCTTCTTGTCCAACAAGAGTCAGGTAATGAGTCAAGGCAAACGAAATGAGGAGGGGATAAGAGGTCGAGTTCGAACCCAAAAAAAATTTCCCTTGAGCAGCGAATACACCTTGTGTTGCTTCGACGGTTAACAAGTCGCTAATTGGAAAACAGCCAGAGCATAAGGATATAGCCTAATACTTTGATGTGGCTAATTGCTAGCACGGTAGAGTCGTACGGCCATGCTGCCTGAAGCAAACGCCTCTTAGGGCCACAATTCGTTTTTTCCTACCTGACAGCTGACTATTCAGTGTGATAATCAGCAAAAGGTGTACGTCCAAAAACTATGGAAGTGAAAAATTTGACTTCAGCAAAAAGTTGTCCGATTCGTAATAAATAACGCTGCTCGTAAATTTCTGACATCTGACTGTCGGATCGGGGGACACTGGACACCTTAGAGTGA